AGGGTAAACTCTTTCTGAGTCTGTGAATACTACCTTGTTTCCCCGAAAATAAGACAGTGCCTTATATTAATTTTTTCTCCCAAAGTTGCGCGAGGTCTTATTTTCAGGGGATGTCTTATCTTTCCATGTGCTAGGTCTTATTTTTGGAGGATGTCTTATTTTCGGGGAAACACGGTAGGAGAGAGTGAGTAAAATTCATTTTATTGTGCCATTTCTCTGCTTAATCCACATAGTGAAATAGAAAGCTTTTGCGGACATATAGGGTTCTACAGCAAATCTGATATTTGGCCTGCTTCAAAGTAGCTTTCCCTCCCTTCTAGATGATGCTTACAGCTATAGCTTGCATTCTGACTGTATCAATCACATTGCTGCTGCTGACACGCTTGACTTTGAATTTGGCTTTAGACCTCTCCAGTTCAGGTAGAGGATAGTTCACAGCATTGTGGACTTTATTAATTAGAGTATATCTTTGGCTTTTGAGACATATATAGGAAAAGGATCTCAATCCAATATTTAGGTATGTGGATATGCTTAATTTTTAGCATTTTTTTTTGTTTATTGGAAACAGTAACTTTAAAGATCTGAATTTACCTAAAACAGAATATCCTGAAAATGGAACCCATGTTCTACCTTCAGACACATCAATACACACATGCACACTTGGATGGTGGTACTGGTAAGGAAAAGTGATACATTTGAAGAATTTTCAGTAGATGTCAATGGAAATTTGAGGTTGCGGTATTTAATATTATTTCACCTTTAGTTATTTATCATACATATTACTTCTTTTACACTTTTTTGATCCAGGGATTTTCAGAGTCAAAAGTAATTTTACATCTCACTCAGTGGATTTGTGAGATAGTCACAAATAATTAAAAGTCAACTCAGGTGAAGGGTAATTTATGTTATTCATTAAGCATAATTAATGCATAACATTTCCCTACCTTTAGCTGGAGCCCTATTTGAAATCTTTTCTTTTTCCATGTTATTTTTTCATCAGCTTTACATGGAAAGCAAATTAAGAAGTGTTTTTTTTTTGTTTGTTTTTTTTTTTACCTTGAAGACTGCTTTGCATTTAGAACATTGTGGTACCAGTAAACATCTCCCAACTAACAAAACGACCTAGAGAAGTCATTTGGAGCTTCGTGTGGGCTAAGGAACTTTACCTATAAAAGCAGCTGTCAAGAAGAAAGCTATACCATGGGTAAAATAGCCTTTTATGGACTAGTGTGGGAGACTGATAGTCATTTATTTCTGTCTCTGTGTGGATGATAGGTTCAGAATTGATATCAGGCTGTTGGCCGTAGTAACTGCTCTCTATTTGGAGAAAGAAAAATTCTTTCAGGCATGATGGCCGCTGTCTAATGACTAGGGCATCTTTTCCACTGGACCTCCCCCCTTGCCTGAGTCTACTTTTTGGAGAGAGACAGCACGGCTAGGAATAAGCCCCATTATTGAATCACAGGGCAGTCTATAATTTTAACAATAAATGAATGACTAAATGAGTACTTCAAAGCCTAATGTATTTTAAAGCTTTTTATACCTGGAGCTCAATAGGAAATGCCTTAGAAATAGGTATTGCAACCTTTTAAAAGATTTTCTTTGCACTAAAAATAACTGGATGCTAGCGGAAAGAGATTATTGAAGAGGAAAGAGTCACTGTGCGTTTGCAGCTCATCCACTTAAGTGCAGCCCTAAACATAGTGTATTACAAAGTGTTTCCACAGCCCTGCTTTCAGTTGACACACAACATAGACTGGTGAAATATATAACTGAAATATGGGCAGCGTGTGGATACGCCCTTATTAATGCTACCAGCATGGTCAAGTAACACTTCTGTCATGGTAGGCTGGTCTATATCTGTGTCATCCAATATGGGAGTCATCAGTCACATGGGGCTATGGAGCACTTGAAATGTAGCCGAGGAACGGAATTTTACATTTTAGTTAATTTAAATATCAGTAACCACCTGTTATAGTGGCCAGGGTACTGCACAGCACAGTAGACCTTCGTTTAGCATGGCACCAAGGACTTCCATGATCTAAAGCCGGCGTGCCCTCTTTATTTATCAGAGCCAGCTTTACAACCAAAATGCAGTGTGTACGTTCCCTGAACTGCCTTGTGCTTGAACATGATGTGCGAATATGTGCGTATTTGGGGTGTTTTCTCTCCTTTTGAATGCCCAGGCTCCCCCTTCCCTGCAGGGTCCCCTCAAGGCTCTTCCTACAAATCCCAGTTGAAATACTATTTCTTTTTAAAAATATATATATATTTTATTGATTTTGTACGGTGAGGAAGGGAGAGAGATAGTTAGAAACATCAATGAGAGAGAGTCATTGATCAGCTGCCTCTTGCACACCCCTTACTGGGGATATGCCCGCAACCAAGGTACATGCCCTTGACTGGAATCGAACCCGGGACCTTTCAGTCCCCAAGCCGACGCTCTATCTATTGAGCCAACCCGGTTTTGGCGAAATACTATTTCTTCGATTAAGTCTTTCCATGGCCTGATCCCAGGCTTACTGACTTAGGATCTGAGTATAATCCTATATAATAGAAGCCTAATATGCTAAGTGTCCAACTGTTTGTTTGACTGTTTGACCAGTCGCTGTGATGCATACTGACCACCAGGGGCAGACGCTCCGACTGCTGGGGACTGGGCAAGACGGGCTGGACATGCCCTGGAGCCCTCCTGTGGTTGTGCACCATTGTGAGGGACGCCACTGGTGCCTGAATCCATGCACTAGGTCTTATATAATGCTTTGGCCATGTAGGTGCTTTCTATATGTTGTAATTGAAAAAGAGAATGTATATTACTCTGAGAGTGACTGATTGAGATTAGAACATCAGCTAAAATGGGAAGTTAGCATGACCTAAATATTAGAACTCAACAAAACACATGCAACAAAAAACCCCAACAATAGACTGATGCTGGTTATTAATGAAGCTGTGAACATCTTAAATTAAATATTAGAGTGGTCTAATTTAAAACCAGTCATAACTGGATAGTTTGTCTCAGGAGTTAAGTTGATTAATGTATCATATTTATCAAACAAAAGGGAGAACCCTCGCCGAAACTGGTTTGGCTCAGTGGATAGAGTGTCGTTCTGCGGACTGAAGGGTCCTGGGTTCGATTCCGGTCAAGGGCATGTACATTGGTTGCAGGCACATCCCCGGTGGGGGATGTGCAGGAGGCAGCTGGTCGATGTTTCTCTCTCATCGATGTTTCTAGCTCTCTATCCCTCTCCCTCTCTGTGAAAAATCAATAAAATTTGAAAAAAAAGGGAGAACCCTCATATGGCCACAGATGCTCAATAGGCAGTCTATAGTATCTAAACTTGGGTGCTCACAATTTCATAACGAACTAGGAGGAAAAGGATACTCAAATAAGAGAAAGACTATCTTTTATAAAGAAATATCCAGCAGGAAACTCATGGGAAAATAGGAGGTTGCTATTAAAACCAGAAATGAATAAAAGATGTGCACTATTGTGACTAATAAAGTTGTTAAAATGAGACCGACTAATGCTGTCTGGGGAGTGAAGCTGTCCCTCTCCTGCCTGTGTATAAAAACAAGAATCAATACAAGCTTTTGGAAAATCAGTTAGGTGGTCTATTTCACAAACCATAAAAATATTCATACCCTCTGACTCAGACATGCACTTCCCAGAAATCCTCCTAAGGAAATTCAATATGTTGACAGGGAGATATAAACAGTTACTCATTATGACATTATTTAGAAAAATCAGAAATGGCAATAATCTAAATGCCCCACAATGGAGAAATAGTTAAGACTATTATGGGCTATCCCTACAGTAGACTGTAATTGGTCATTAGAAATGTTTAAGACTTTCTATGCCATGAGAATGTGTGTGTTGAATTAGAATGACCCAAATTGTATTTAAACATCCCCTCGCTATGTATACAAATCTCCTTTGCTTCTAGGTGGAAGAGGTAGAAGTCAGTTTTCTTTCTTTTTGGTTAAATTCCCCTCCCCTCCCGCTGGACTCAGCAAGGGCAGCCTGAGCTGTTTCTCAGTACGCAGTGTCCCAGCAGCACAGCATGCCAGCGCTGGGAAGGGACTATGTCTTCCTGTCCCTTTTATTTTACACATCACATACCAGGACCAAGGCCACCCCCTTGGGTGATGGAACAGAACTGACAGTCGGCCCTGTGCTCCGACTCTGAGAGGGTCAGTGATTCAAAAAGCACAGCGAGTGCTGGGAAGATGACTTGAAAGACAAGTGTCTGTTCTCTGAAGTCTGTTTCTCACTGGCTGTTGACTAGAGTTGAAATTGGAACTGCTGTGAGCACTGGTGATGGAAGGGAAGAGCAAGAACAGGGTTATACTGGTGGAAGAGTGGAGTGAGGGAGTTGGTTTAGCACAGCAGAATTCTTTTTTTTTTTTTTTTAAATTCTATATTGTTGAAAATATTACCCCCAGTGACCTCTCCCAGCCCGCTCCTTCCCCCCCCCCCCCCCAGCACAGGCCCTCACCTCCCTACTGTCCGTGTCCATTGATTATCCTTACACGCATGCATATCAGTCCTTTGGTTGATCTGCCTTCCCGTTGAGGTTTGATGGTCTGATGCTTCTCTGTCTCTGAATCTATTTTTGTTCATCAGTTTATGTTGTTCATTATATCCCACAAATGAGTGAGATCATAGCAGGATTCTTTCCATGTCTCTGATACCACCTCTGTAGTCTTGGTCAAGACCATGGAACTATTCTGGACCTTTTTTTTTTTTAATAAAAAAATCTATAAAATTATATTGATGAATCAGACTAAGGTTACTTTCAAATTTATTAAACTATGGAGGTCAGTAATTGACAAGGTGAGGCATGTCTTAAGAATTTCTTTATTGGCAGTAATTGGCTATCACTACAAGATCATTATAATTGGAAAGAATTTAATAGAGACATTGGGAACACTGTGGAGAATATGACTCTTTCCAGGAGCTCTTCCTGTGGTGAGCAGGATGGGATCATTTTGCTTGTTTCTTCACTGGGATAACTTGTTCACTAACCCCTGGAACTCTTCGAAGCTAACTTCTCCATCTCCATTCTTGTCCAGTTCTTTAAAAAGATCCTCCAGGGAGTTTGGACCCTGGTGTTAGGCAAAGAGGAAGGGATGAGGAGAGGAGAGAAAATGAATCAGTTATGTGCTGCTACACATTCTCCAAAATTAGCCTGCATTCCAAGAAGGCAGCGGAGCTTTTGGTCACATGATAGTGGTGGCAAAACCAACTTGAGCTCTAATTGCTCTATGTCACAGAACAGGCCACCCTTTTTCATTTCTTTAGTATACGTTTATTATTTTACTATTGATAATGTGTATGTTAATAGGATTTGTTTTCTATGCAATCTTCAGTATTTTCCTTTATGCTTCTAAAAGCATTTAAAAATATTTTTTTAATTGATTTCAGAGAGGAAGGGAGAGGGAGAGAGATAGAAACATCAATGATGAGAGAGAATCATGGATCGGCTGCCTCCTGCACAGCCCCCACTGGGGATCGAGCCTGCAACCTCGGCACGTGCCCTTGACCGGAACTGAACCCGGTACCCTTCAGTCAGCAGGCTGACGTTCTACCTACTGAGCCAAACAAGCTAGGGCAAAACCCATTTTTTTGAGATGGAGCCCAAGTGCTTCACTGGACTTCTGAGGGGCCCACACCCACAAATAGTTGAGGACCCCTGCCCCCTGGAAGCTGATTTGTGCCTGCCTGTAGGGCTGGGCTGGCATATAATCAAGGCATTGCCCATGGCTTATTGCTGGCTGGTACTGTGTCCAGGGCTTTCGGTAGCTTGTGCAATCCTCTCAACCGCCCTGAGGGGGCAATCTTTACAGATGAGGAAACGGAGAATCTGAAACAGCTGTTGACTCACTCCAGGATCCACAGCTGGTAAGTAGGGGCCTTGGAGTCCAAACATTGATTCCAGACCCCAGACCCTTAACCAGCAACTACCGTAGTTTTTTCCAAACCCTGGGCCACAGCCCACCTCCATGCTGGGCAAGATGACTTTGGATCAGTGGTTCTCACTCTTGGACATGCATCAGAATCACGAGATGGGCTTTCTAACCTTAGTAAATACAGATTTTAACCGTAAGAAATGAGAAGATAATGGCTTATCAGGTCACTGAACTCAGCCACTATTCTTCGTGGTAATAATAGAAACCTTCTCACCAACTAAAACCAAAAACCTTTTCCTATGTCATATTGGCAGGAGGGACTTCTCTGGTTAAAATCTGGGAAGCAAATGCTTTCTTCTGAAGTTACAGCAGACAAGTGACCAAGTGGGATACAGCAACTACAGCCCTTCCGTTTGGAAGCTGGCTTTCAGTGGCGAAGGGGAGAAAGCACATGGGAGGCAGACAGACAATCCACCTTTCCCCGTCTCTTTTTGCTTCTAGATGCGATTTGATTTAGACAATTCCGGGATGGTTCTTATGGCTAAAGAAATTGCATCCTTTCCCATTGAGAAATGCATAGTTGGCTCACTAACACAAATTTAGTCGCTTAACACAAATGACCAGCAATTTAAATGCGTTTTGAAATATAAATGGGGTTCTACAGAAAATAATTTGTCAGGGGAAGAAACCTCTCTCATTGTGGATGTTTCTATCTCGCCCTCTCCCTTCCTCTCTGAAATCAAATCTCTTAACAGACTGCCCCGTAAGCGTTGGTCTTGTTGAGAGATCCTATGTATAATGGTGAAACGCGTCCAAGGCCAAGTAATACTAATTTACTGGCTTCTGTTTTCCCAAAGCCTGGCACGGATGGGCTGAATGCAGGCTGAAGGTCTTTGTGTGTTTGCGTGGCAACCTGTGCATCTTCCAGCTTGGCAGAAGTGCCATCACTGCTTTCATTACTATGGCTGGTCCAGGGAGTTCTGTGCTAAGGCTATGGTGGTCTGCTACCAGCGGAGGAGACCACACGTGACGTGCACTCCCTCTGTGATGCCTGTGTTTTGCTGCTGTGTCCTCTTCCCCAGGTGGAACTCTGATCCATATCTCAGACCTCAGCCTCTCCCCGGCTCTCTTTCTCTCCCCTCCCGCCATCAGAGGCCCGTTCAGGCACTTACTTTTAGCAAACTGGGGAATTCAGTCTGGATCAGTTGTCTCAGCTCCTCCATCGACAGCTGATTTGGATCGCCTTCTTTAGCTGCGTATTTTTCAAAAATGCTCTTCAGTTCGTTGGGAGACATTTTTGCACTCATCTTGGTGTCCTGTAAATCGGGAAAGACACGAACTTACCAAAAAGCTCAAATGTGGAGTTTTAGACTAATGATCGCCGGCAGGAGTTCCTGGCCATCGGGCTATTTCCTTGGCACAGATGGGGGACAGTAAAGAAAAGGCTGGGGACCGGAGTGAGGGGCCAGGGGGAGGAAGGGAAATTGTGGGAAACGCACCAGGGGACTGCAAACATATTTTAAAAATAATCATTGTAGACAGTCTGTTAAACGCCTATCCTTAGAGGACATCTGTTAAGAGATAGTCCCTGAAGCCAAACACTTTAATTAGTAATTATGACATTCTTCCCTTTTTCCATACCTGGCTGCCCTCCGTAGGCTGGGGTCTTGCAGAAACCCCAAAACAGCTTCTAGCCTTTAAATGACTGGTAATCTCGTTAGAGCACAAACCTACTTTCTCCTCAGACCATTATCTCTCACACCATTCTGAAAGGAGGCAGGAAGAGCTCCAGGTAGAACTAAAAGCAAGCACACTCACCTGGTCGCTGAGCAGCAAGGCAGCTAGGAGAAAAGACGGGAGTATGGAGAGAGGAGCAGGTCAGCTGGCTTTTATAGCCTGTGCAGACGGACACACCGCCCTGATGATGAAATTTTCCTTTCGTTTGCCATTTAGAGGTAATTATTAATGGTTTTTGAAATCCAATCTTAAGACTGCATGCACCTTATAATTAAGGGTGTTGTAAAATTGGCCAACCGGCACAGACTTGTTAAAGCACCTGACCCGTAGAATGGGCTCCTAGGTTTATCGAGGTCAAGAGGAACAGTTCAAAGAGGAGTCTCTCAGGTAAGGGCAGTCATCTCCGGCAGGACTTTAGCCACCAGGAGGCAGTACCCTGGCTACAAGGGAAAGCTTCAGCCCAGTAAGAAAACACAGACCATGACTAAAACATATTTCTATCCATGAGGCAGGGGAAGCTGTATGAAATCTGTGTGCCACACCTCAAACGGTCCGTTAGGCAATTTAAAATGTTTGGCTCAGTGGATGGAGCATCGGCCTGCGGACTGAAGGGTCCCAGGTTCGATTCCGGTCAAGGGCATGTACCTTGGTTGTGTGCAAGAGGCAGCTGATCAATGTTTCTCCCTCATCGATGTTTCTAACTCATCGTCGATGTTTCTAACTCTGTATCCCTCTGTCTTCCTCTCTGTAAAAAATCAATAAAATATATTTTTAAAAATAAAATAAAATGTCCAGGGGCAGTGCAGACAGGTTTTCCCGGGTTGTGTTTTTGACAGGTAGGACAAGTAAGATAGGCACTTTTCAAGGCCTTATGTATTTTATTTTGCTTTTATTTTTTAAGTATATTTTTACTGATTTCAGAGAGGAAGGGAGAGAGAGAGAGAGAGAGAGAGAGAGAGAGAGAGAGAGAGAAACATCAATGATGAGAGAGAATCATTGATCAGCTGCTTCCTGCACACCCCACATGGGGATCGAGCCCACCACCTGGGTATGTGCCCTGACAGGGAAATGCACCATGACCTCCTGGTTCATAGGTTGACACTTAACCACTGAACCACACCAGCTGGGCTTCACAGCCTTATTAATATTTCCCCAGCAATATTGATTCATAAATGCTATCATTTTGTCTGTGGACCAAATGCATGCACAGTAAAGAGTGGAAACTTCATAGTCTCTGGGATGACTGGGTTATTTGGTCTGAACCAGACCTTTCTCTTTTATCAAACTAGCAATTTTTAGATTTCTAATCTTGTGGGGTGTTTTTTCTTCTTCTTCTTTTTTTTTAAAGCTAATTGTTGGGCTTCTCTAGCCAGTTTTTCTAAATTACCAGCTGGGGAATTATCCCTTTGGACCCTGACAGGGGTTTCACCTGCTGATTTCTTGAAGGGTTGCATTCCTTGCAGAAGTTCAGCGAGGTGATTTCCTTGAGCTTCCAGAGAGTCAAGTTTAGAATGCCCCGGGATCTTAATGCTAACTAGCTAACGCATCAGGTGAAAGTATAGCAAACAATAATTCCCGAACATATGGGCCATTAGTTTTATTTCCCCTGGAAGTGAGGAAGCCACATTGTTTCCGTAACATTACAAAGTCATGAGCTGCTCCACAGGCTTATGGACTACAGTATAAACGCTGGGAGTTTTGCCCTGGGCTAAAACATAAGCCAGAGTGAAAAGCATACAATTCAGCCTGCTGAGCTGAGGGAGCCACAGGTAAAAATGCCTCAATTACTTCCATTGCATAATCAGCACGGCACTTTTCCATTTTCATTTCTAAAACATGAGCCATCAGTAACGCGTGGGAAAACAGCTTTACCCACAGGGGCCTCCGGCAAGTCAAGGGGAGGTCTCAGGAGGCGGTCTGTCAGTGTCAGACAGTCAGGAGGGGCCTTATGGGTCTTGAAGGGCGAAGAATCCTTGGGTTGAGGTTATTGCAATGCCAGAGAGTTGTGTGAGGAGCAATTAGCAGAAGGATTTCATCAGAAAGAAGGCAGCTAACGGAAAGACGCTGGGTATAAGGAGGATTCAGGAGGGCGTCTGCTGAGTGGGGTACAGAGATGGTTCAAGGGGATCTTGCCACATTGTTCTTAGTGGCCTCAATCCAGAGGGCAGTGGCTCTAAGGCAAGGGGGAGGGGATGCTGAGTCCAGTTGCTGACTGTAGTATCCCAGGGATCTATCGTGGTCCCCATGGTTTGTGGGTGAATAGAATATCCCAAGTGCATTCCCCCCCTTTTTAAAAAATGACATTTTATTTTTTATTTTTATTTATTTATTATCTAAAGTTTCACATATGTCTCCTTTTCCCCCTGGCTTGTGACCGCTTCCCCCTCTAGCCATTCCCACCCCGGGCAAGCCCCCACCTTCCCAGTGTCTGTGTCCATTGGTCATGCTAATATGCATGCATGCAAGTCCTTTGGTTGCTCTTTAGCCCCCACCCTCTCCTGCCAAGGGCATGCCCTTTCTTTTCATATACAAAAGGGAAAAGGGGGCCCTAGCTGGTTTGCTCAGTGGTTAGAGTGTCGGCCTATAGACTAAAGGGTCACAGTTTCAATTCCCAGTCAAGGGCATGCACCCCGGTTGCAGGCTGGATCCCTGGCCCAGGTCAGGGTGTGTGTGGGAGGCAACCAATCAATGTGTCTTCCTCACATTGATGTTTCTCTCTCTCTCTCTCTCCCCCTCCTCCCTCCCTTCCACTCTCTAAAAATCAATGGAAAATATCCTCGTGTGAGGATTAAAAAAAAAAAAAAGGAAAAAGGGATCTGATCTTTGGGATGTACAAGAGCAGTGGGTTTATTAAACCCTTCTTTAAGTCTTTAAAGGCTGTGTCCTCCCATTCTCCCCATACCATCCGGTCAGAACAGTCATTCTTCTTTAAAAAAAAAAAAAAAAAAATATTTTATTGATTTTTTTTTTTTTTAACAGAGAGAAAGGGAGAGGGATAGAGAGCTAGAAACACGATGAGAGAGAAACATTGACCAGCTGCTTCCTGCACACCCCCCACCGGAGATGTGCCCGCAACCAAGGTACATGCCCTTGACCTGAATCGAACCTGGGACCTTTCAGTCCACAGGCCAACGCTCTATCCACTGAGCCAAACCGGTTTTGGCAGGACAGTCATTCTTCAGTAAAGCATGCAGAAGTTTTATCATAAGAGAGATTCCTTATCAGCTTGAAGAAAAGTTTCTCCAAGCTGATCGGAGCCGATTAAGGATTAGAAAAAGCCCTGAAGCTCCTCAGAGACTCCTCTTTGAGGAGCAGAAGGACCTTGAGAAGGCCGGTTCGAAGGCTAATTACAAGGCTGAGGGTGCCCGCAGCATTTAAACTTTTGACAATCCCTTTCCCAACATCCTGGCTCTTTGCAAAAATGAGCAGAAACTTGGAGCTTTTGGTTTCCCATTGGGGCTTCCCTTTGCCAAGGCTGAAAATGAAAAATCATGGCAGTCTTACTTCTAGGTGGCTCATCGAGAGTACAAGCAATGCTGAAACCCCGGTTTGGCTCAGTGGATAGAGCATTGGCCTGCAGACTGAAAGGTCCCAGGTTCGATTCCAGTCAAGGGCATGTACCTGGGTTGCGGCACATCTCCTGTCGGTGGTGTGCAGGAGGCAGCTGGTCTTTGTCTCTCTCTCATCGATGTTTCTAACTCTCTATCCCTCTCCCTTCCTCTTTGTAAAAAATTAATAAATTATATATTAAAAAAAAAGAGTACAAAAAAAGAAATGCACATCTGAAGGAAGGCCGGAATTCTCCTTTAGTGACCTTTTGTTGATTATAATAGCCATGAATGGATTCTGTGAGCAAGTCTGAATTTTGCTGCAGTTCAGCAGGCTTTGGGAAATTGCTCCATATAGTTCTCTAGCAAGTTCTCTAATTTCTTCCCTCACAATTAGAGACTTGTTTTTCTAAATCTGTTTCAGGATGATCCCGTTGGGCAATTCCCATTCAATGTTGAGCCGGATCTTCCCCAACGAACACAAATTAGCTTGTCTAAGTCAGAAAACCCGGACTGATAGGTCTGAATACTAATCAGATTCCTCAGCAAACTTGTGAGGGTCCTTAGGAAATTCTTTTCTCCAGGGAACATAGGAAACGAGGTTCGTTATGATCCCGAGAGCTCTTAACTTTAAACAAAAAGGTCCTGATGAGTTGAGAAGGAAGGAGTGGGAGCGAATTCAGGGGAAGAAGGCGCCAGAGGGGAACTGGGGATAAGGCAGCATGGTATAGAGGTGGAGCTTGAAATAAGGATTTGGAGAAAAAGACCTTGAGGATACTGGAGAAGAAGCCTATGGCAAAATATTCATAGGCCTTAGCCTGTCGGGTCAGTGGATATCAGTGGATAGAGCGTCAAACCTGTGGACTGAAGGGTCCTGGGTTCGAGTCCTGGTCAGGGCACATGCCTGGGTTTCGGGCTTGATCGCCGGTAGGGGCAGTGCAGGAGGCAGCCAATCAATGTTTCTCTTTCATCATTGATGTTTCTATCTCTCTCTCCCTCTTCATTCCTCTCTGAAATCAATAAGAATATATATATATATCCACACAAAAACCAAATTGGAGAATTTTTATTAAAAAATAAAAGAGGAAATAGGGTACCTGGAGGTGGATCCTGAGACAGTGGAGTCGAGGGGAATGGCAAGGCAGCCACGTAGATGAAGAGCATGTGGGAAGCCATTTTTCTCTCTTTCAAAATTCAGTTGTCTCTGTTAATTTGAACACTTTATTTTGCAAAGAGGCAACTTCAGATTCTTGATCTCATTTGGAAGTCTCCACACACCATTCAAAATAGGCATTCCCTTTAGCTTTGCCAGTTTCAGTGCTGCTATTGTCCAATTCGCTTTTAAGAAAATGAAGTTTGGGAATCTCAGCAATTCCCCACAGTGGCCACTGATTTTCTGAATTACCGATGGCCACATCTGTCCATTAGTTAAATATGTGCATAAAAAGTGTTCGAGTCCCTGCAGGAGGGATCGTCTTAAATATTAAATAACTGAGACCCCATTTTTCAGAGACTTTTCTCTAGAGCAAGGGTCCCAAAGCAGGTTACAACAGCTCAAATTCCCTGCACGGTGGAAATCAGCCAGCCTCGCTCTAGAACATTCTGATCATAGAAGGATCAGGCCTGAAGTTTAAAAATGCACTTCTGGGAAACAGCCTGCTTTCTGGAGATCCTGGCTATATGTAAGCTGAGCGGCACTTTTTTAATGAGACAGTCTGGTCTAATACTCAGCCAGAAGCTAATTTCAGTAGAAATAGCCTGTTTCAAAGGAGATTGAACCCAAGCCAGCTGGTCTCCAAAGATAACCTGACCCTGAAGGAGAAATCAGACTGCCCGGCCATCTCGGGTACTCACAGACAAACAACAGCGGACAAACGAGCTTTAAAGCCCTAGCTGGTTTGGCTCAGTGGATAGAACATCAGCCTTCGGACTGAAGGGTCCCGGGTTCGATTCCGGTCAGGGGCACATGCCTGGGTTGCAGGCTTGATCCCCAGTAGGGGGCGTGCAGGAGGCAGCGGATCCATGATTAACTCTCATTATTGATGTTTCTATCTCCCTTTCCCTTCCTCCCTGAAATAAATAAAAACATATTTAAAAAAAGACACTTTATTTAAAAAAATATTTTATTGATTTTTTTTACAGAGAGGAAGGGAGAGGGATAGAGAGTTAGAAACATCGATGAGGGAGAAACATTGATCAGCTGCCTCCTGCATCCCCCCCCACTGGGGATGTGCCTGCATCCAAGGTTCATTCCCTTGACCGGAATCAAACCTGGGATCTTTCAGTCCACAGACAGACGCTCTATCCACTGAGCCAAACCAGTTAGGCAAAAAAAAAAAAAAAAAAAAAAAGACACTTTAAACAGTTTTCGAATAAAGCCTTGACTGAGAGCTTCAAAATGCAAAAAGCGGAAGCTCAATTCCAGGAGAAGCCCGCAGTCAGCCCATGGGCTTTGGTGGCGCCAGTTGCTCACCTGCTCTGATGCCTTTAGGTTCAAGAAGTGGGGGAGAATATACACAATAATTGGTTGTTTTATTTTCAAAGCAAGATTACCAAGTGACATGGTCATTTTTCAACTTTTTAATTTGTTATTCCCATATGTGCTTTTTATTTATGACCTTTTTTCTCACCAAACATATTTTGTTAATCATTCCAGAAACTTGTGAAAACACTTGACTCACTACTTACACATTTATGTAATTTTCTCTGATCCTTTATTATGTTACCTATGAATTGAGGCTTGAACTATTGAACTGCATTTCTCTTGATGCTCTTTAGTTCCAAGATTCTAGGAACTTATTTACCTTGGAGAACAAATGTGAAATCTTACTGAGTTCCTTAAAAGTTTTCTGCCAGTCCTGTGTATTTACCATTCCATGTACCTTTGCTGTCTTGTATGTGTTATTCTTGCTTTCATTACAGATTATTTGACTTTGGTATGCAATAGTACTGACCATGTATTAATATTCTTCTTTGGTTACAGATAGGCATTTTCTTAAATAAACTTTTAAAAAATATATGTTTTATTGATTTTTTACAGAGAGGAAGAGAGAGGGATAGAGAGTTAGAAACGTCGATGAGAGAGAAACATCGATCAGCCGCCTCCTGCATACTCCCTACTGGAGATGTGCCCGCAACCAAGGTACATGCCCTTGACCGGAATCGAACCTGGGACCCTTGAGTCCGCAGGCCTACACTCTATCCACTGAGCCAAACCGGTTTCGCAGCATTTTGTTTTTAGTTGTAAAATTTTACACAAAAATATCCTGATTTTGTTAATGTATTTTAATCAAGATAGTAGAGAATTTTTGGTGTTTTTTAGATTTATGCTTTGTCTTACCTGGGAGGAAGTAGGCTTTTGTTGAATAATCATAACAAGAAATATCCTTTTCCTCTAAGACAGTGGTTCTCAACCTTCCTAATGCCTCAGCCCTTTATACAGTTCCTCATGTTGTGGTGACCCCCAACCATAAAATTATTTTCGTTGCTACTTCATAACTAATTTTCTTACTGTTATGAATGGTTATGTAAATATCTGTGTTTTCCAATGGTCTTAGGCTCTATAGCTGCGCTTATCAACCTGTGTGTCACGAGCTACAGGAACCGCTAGCAGGGTCACCTGAGACCATCAGAAAACACAGCTATTTACATTATGATTCATAACAGAAACAAAATGACAGTTATGAAGTAGCAACGAAAATAATTTTATGGTTGGGGTCACCACAACATGAAGAACTGTATTAAAGGGTCGCGGCATTAGAAAGGTTTAGAACCACTGCTCTAAGACCTTTACAAAAATTAAAATCTGTAGAAAAGTTGCAAAAGTAGTCAATGAACATCAACCTACCTTTCACCCAGATGTACTAATCACTAACATTTCCACATTTGCTTTTTCTGTCTATGGATGCGCATTTCCCCCAACCTGGAACCATTTGAGAATTAGTTACCGTACAGACATTCTGACCCTCCTCAGAATGTGTATATTGTGTATATTCTCCCCCACTTCTTGAACCTAACTGAAATGCCTGAGCATCTTCTAAGACAAGGGCATTGTCCTACACAAGCACAATGCCATTATTACAGTCCATATTTTAATACCTCAGTTGTGGAAATAGCATCTTATATGATCTGTTCTCTCAAATTACCACTTGTGAGCTAAAATCAATATGGCAGTTGTTATATTTCTTGAGTCTGTATTGAAGAAATGACTTTAATAACTATATGTGATCTTAATAACTATATTATATGTAACTATGGTTTTAATAACTATATGTTACATGGTTGATAACATGTTATGTATAAAACACATGGCACATATTATATGAGGTCGTGTGTACATATGAAATTAACTCTAAGAAAACATTTAGAACAGTATTGGGTAATAGTGTTTGCCGAAACCGGTTTGGCTCAGTGGATAGAGCGTCAGTCTGCGGACTGAAGGGTCCCAGGTTCGATTCCAGTCAAGGGCATGTACCTTGGTTGCGGGCACATCCCTGGTGGGGGGTGTGCAGGAGGCAGTTGGTCGATGTTTCCCTCTCATCGATGTTTCTAGCTCTCTATCCCTTTCCTTTTCTCTCTGTAAAAAATCAATAAAATATATTTTTTAAAAAAATAGTGTTTTAGGATACAAAGCTCTCATTTTAAGGGAAGACCTCTAATTAAAACAGGCCTCTGGCTGCTTGTTGTCAGAACTTAGGCTTGTAGTGAATGCTAATAGAACTTGGAAAACAATCCAAGAGTCTTCTTAAATTTTCACTTGCTTCCTTCTGCCAGTCACATCTCTCATCTCTTATTTTCCCTTTTCCCTGTAGATGCAGGTGTGAGGGTAAATCTGCATTGGGAAACAAAATCCACCATTAGATATTGTCATGAAACATTAACTAAAAATATATGGGGACGGGCGATAAACACAGGGTGTGTTCAAAAGAGGGCATTTTGAAACCAGAGCAGGGGAAAAAGTGACAGGTACAAGATTGGTCATGGAAAAATGGAGAGGCAAAGGTTATTTAACACCTCACTGCTCAACTGCTTGATCTTTGGACAGACTTAAGTTTTTCCTGGGAAAGTCAAGAGTAACTTATTTTAAAAGCTCCTGGTACCACAGGCCTCCACAGATATGTTATTCTTTTTTTTTTTTTTAATAAATCTTTATTGTTCAGATTATTACAAATGTTCCTCTTTTTCCCCCTCACCTTTGCTCCCCTCCACCAGGTTCCCACCCCACCCTCTGCCCTTTCCCCACTCCCCATTGTCCTCATCCATAGGTGCACAGTTTATGTTCAGTCTCTTCCCGCATCCACCACTCCCCTTTTCCCTGAGAATCGTCAGTTCACTCCCCTTCCATACCTCTGATTCTATTATATTCAACAGTTAATATTGTTCATCAGATTTTTTTTCCCCTTGGTTTTTAGATTCACTTGTTGATAGTTAACGTATTTGTTGTTCATAAGTTTTATCTTTATCTTCTTCCTCTTCCTAAAGAACCCCCTTCAGCAATTCATATAATTCTGGTTTGGCGGTGATGAACTTTAGCTTTTTTTTTTTATTGGTGAAGCTCTTTATCTGGCCTTCCATTCTGAGTGATAGCTTTGCTGGATAGAGTATTTTTGGCTGTCACAGATATGTTATTCAACTCCAAGTCCATAGTAGGCAGTGCCTGGAGATGCACCTTTGGGAAGATGGTACAGAGTCAGTATCTGGGCCCTGCAAAACTAATGGGTGGGAAATGCTGTCTGTGGGTTCGTGTTGTCTTTGATCTGGAGGTTTAAGAAAGACCCTGACTGAAATGCAGCTGTCCCTAAAGGGGAGCACCCTTCCCTTTGCCTGCCTTCCCTGTACCCCACGACAGAGCTTACCTTCTTTCCCATGTCCAGCCTTTGCCTGGGCTGTGAGGCTCAATGATTTGGGGGCATGAGCTCTCAGAAGCCTCTTCATCATAGCTCCGTGATCAACAAACCTCGGCTCGCGAGCCACATGTGGCTCTTTGGCCCCTTAAGTGTGGCTCTTCCACAAAATACCACGGCTTGGGCGAGTCTGTGTTGAAGAAGTGGCGTTAGAAGAGTTTAAGTTTAGAAAATGTGGCTCTCCAAAGAAATTTCAATCGTTGTACTGTTGATATTTGGCTCTGTTGACTAATAAGTTCGCCGACCACTGTCATAGCCCGTACTTACTGAGGTCTGATTTTTTAAAGATATATAGTTATTGATTTCAGAGAAGAAGGGAGAGGGAGAGAGACAGAAACATCAATAATGAGAGAGAATATTTGATTGGCCGCATCCCGTATGTCCCCCACCAGGGATTGAGCCCACAACCCAGACATGCACCCTGCTGGGAATGGAACTATGACCTCTTTGTTCATAGGCCGGCACTCAACCACTGAGCCACACTGGCGGGGCTGAGGTCTGATTTTTACCATGGAGTGTGTACTGCTCCAATATCTGACTTATTAGCTTGAGAAATCCTCAAAGCACCCCTCTGCGGAGCCATTCACAGACCTCTTCAAGGTCACATCACTGGGGATTGGTAGGTCTTGGATTCAAGTCCAGGCCTGACCTTCACCCTCAGCCACCATTCCAACTGCCTCTCCCTGGGGGAGGACTTCTGTGAGCAGAGCAGGTCAGTGTTAGCATGAGGCCCAGATGTAGGACTTAAACTTACATGTATGGTCACACCTGAAGCTATAAGCACATTCTCTTCCTGATGGAAGTAAACTAGACCTTTCTTTTATTGGTGGAAAAAGGAAGTTTAAACGGCCGTAAAATATATACACATTTATAGCTCGCTTCGTACTTTCACCATTGTAGATTCCATCCTCACGCTGCTCCTCGATGCTGCAGGCTGGGAAGACAGGGAAGTAACGTCCCGCATCAGGTGGGCGGTGGGCTTGGATGAGGTGCCTGGGACTGAAGTGACCACCTGCCTCTTGGGATAATGCACAGTGTCTCAGAGACCTTCCGCAGCTCTTAGGCCCACTGACCAGTGCCTCAGTTGCCCCATTTTAGATGAAAATCCAGGGAGAGCTCCTTATGGAGCACTTGATCCAGATCTGAGACTGTGCTGAACTTTGTTGGAGACATAGCTTATGTACTTTGTTGGAGACATAGCTTATGTGCTGAACTTTGTTGGAGACATAGCTTATGTACCTCCTCTCATAAAGTGAGAGGAGGTACATAAATGAAAGAATGAAGGAGGTTAAAGTTGTATATAAAGGACTGTATCCATTTCCTATCGCTGCTGTGACAAATGACTACAAACTTAGTGGCTTAACACAAGGCACATTTTCTTAAAGTCCTAGAGCTCAGAAACATAAAGTTGTTCCTTCTGGAGGCTCTAGGGGAGAACCTGTTTCTTTGCCTTTTTCAGCTTCTGGAGGCTGCCTGCATTCTTTGGCTTGTGGCCCCTTCCTCCATCTTCAAAGCCAGCAGGGTGGCCTCTTCCAATCTCTCTCTCTCTCTCTCTCTCTCTCTCTCACACACACACACACACACACACACACACACACACACCTCTACTTTATTTTTTTATTTTTTTATTTTTTCTCATTTTTTATTAAGGTATTATATGTGTACATACCTTACCAATTCCCACCCCACCCCCACTCCCCTACATGCCCTCCCTCCCCAGAGTTTTGCGTCCGTTGGTTATGCTTATATGCATGCATACAGGTCCTTTGGTTGATATCTCCCTACCCTCCCTGCTGTAATTTGACAGTCAGTTTCTTTTACTGTCTCTGTATCTATCTTTTTGTTCATCAGTTTATAATGTTCCTTATTATCCATAAATGAGTGAGATCATGTGGTGTTTCTCTTTCATTGACTGGCTTATTTCACTCAGCATAATGTTCTCCAATTCCATCCAGGTCACTGCGAATGATAAGAATTCCTTTTTTATGGCAGCATAGTATTCCATAGTGTAGATGTACCATAGTTTTTTGATCCAATCATCTGCTGACAGGCACCTAGGCTGTTTCCAAATCCTAGCTATTGTAGATTGTGCTGCTATGAACATAGGGGTGAATATATCCTTTGTGATGGGTGTTTCTAGTTTCTTGGGATATATTCCTAGACGTGGGATTACTGGGTCAAATGGGAGTTCCATTTTCAGTTTTTTGAGGACACTCCATACTGTTCTCCACAGTGGTTGCACCAGTCTGCATTCTCACCAGCAGTGCACGAGGGTTCCTTTTTCTTCGCATCCTTGCCAGCACTTGTCGTTTGCTGATTTGTTGATGATAGCCATTCTGACAGGTGTGAGATGGTACCGCATTGTCATTTTGATTTGCATCTCTCACACACCTCTACTTTATTGTCGCATCTTCATTTCCGACTCTGACCCTCTTGCCTCACTCTTATAAAGACCCTGTGGTGACACTGAGACCATCCGGAAAATCCAGGGTAATCCTCATCTCAAGAGCCTTAGTTTAATCATATCTGCAAAGTCCCCTTTGCCACGTAAAGTAACACATTCACAGGTCCTTAGGACTAGGAGTTGGACATCTTTGGGAGCCCATTATTCAACCTACCAGAACGGCTGATTGCAGATGAATGAAGTCTATAGCTTATTTATTTGGTAGAGTGAGCATAACAATGGTATTACTTGTGGGGCAATAAGAACTAGAGGGTGTCCCTGATGCATGAGCCCTTGTACGATGGTAGGGAAAAGACATCTTAGGGAAAGTAGTGGAGAGGTGATATGTATGTAGTGGGGTTGTGGGGAGGGGAGCAGAGGGGCCATCGGCAATGGCCTTGGTTGCCTGAGGTAGACACCACAGGTTAGAATAGGTGGGGACCACTAGGTGGGCACTGGAGATATCAGGGGGAACACTGTATAAAGGATATGATTGTCTGACCACTATACTCTACACCTGCAACTAATACAAAATAATACTGAGTGTAATTGAAAAATTTTTTTAAAAGAGAGAGAATGTATGAGGAGAGCAGAACTAGTTTCTGAATGAGGTGGAATCTGAGTGCCCCATTGGAGAGTTTCGATTTAATTTGCAGCAATGCAACAGAGTATTACCGTCTTTCCCCAAAAATAAGACATCCTCCGAAAATAAAACCTAGCGCATGGAAAGATAAGACGTCCCCTGAAAATAAGACCTAGCGCAACTTTGGGAGCAAAAATTAATATAAGACACTGTCTTATTTTCGGGGAAACAGGGTACTTAACATAACATTGATATAAAATTGGTTTACACTTTATGCTCAACTGGACTGTGACTCAGAGAATCAAAATTAGAAGCAGGTGTAAAAAATGGACAGAAAAACTAATGGATCTCCTCTCTCTCCAGCTCCATTTTCTCCGCTGTCGGGGTGGGGGGTGGGGCCAGGGTTTCCTGTGGGGGACCTGGCCGGTACCCCAAGGGGATCCAGGAGATGGGGAGACGGGTGGGGGTCGGGGTGGAGGGAACAATGGCCCCAGTGAGTTTGCGGGGAAGTAACCAGGCAGGGGAGGGGTAGAACAGGGACGGGGCCTCAGGGCCCCCTCGAACTATGGATGAGCGACTGCTGGGGCTTCTTCCTCAAGGTGGGGGCTGAGGGGGCCTAAGGATGCTGGGTGGGGAACTTGGGGGCCCTGGCGAGCCTCCTGGTGGCAGAGACCCTGGTGGGGATGGTGGGGCTCCAGGGAGGCCGAGAGAAGCAAGACATCGGGAACATTCTGCAGCAGATAATGACCATCATGGACCAGAGCCTGAACGAGGCCCAGGCCAAGAAACACGCCCTAAACGGCCACCGAGCGCAGCCAGCGCTCTTTAACGTCCTGGGTGAGATCCAGGAGACCAGCCTCAGCATCTGAAGCTCCTAGGAGGAGGAGCCAGTGGACCCCGAGTTTATGCCCTTGGACAACATGCTTCTGGCAGAAGGTATGGCTGGGATGAAGACAGAAGAGAAACAGTCCAGAGACGGAAGACGCTGACAACGCCTCGCCATACTAAGTCAGCAGCTGTGCATCGCTGCAGGATGCCCAGGACCAAGCTAGAGAGGGTCGGACTTGCATCACCACCATTTGTCCACCAACCAGATCTGAAATATCATGGCTGACATGTACACATAAGGAACTGTTTGACATAGAAATTGGGCTTCAAAAGAACTGTTGGCCCAGAATGGAACTCACTACAGACTGATTCATTTGCCTCTCAGCATAACCATTATGGCTTGTCTCATTTTTGGTTCTTATAAGTGTATTTCTAATATCACATGATCTCACTCATCTAGGGGAAATAATGAACATAAACTGATGAACAAGAACAGACCGGAGACAGGGAAGCTTCGATCAGACTGTCAAACCTCAGAGGGAAGGTAGGGGAGGGTGGGGATAAGGGGGAGAGATCAACCAAAGGACTTGTGTGCATGCATATGGGCCTAGCCAGTGGCCATGGACAACAGGGAGTGGGGGCCGGCACATATGTGGGGAGGGGTTTGGGATGGGGATCGGGGGATGAGGACAAATAATGTGATACCTTAAGAAAAAAAACAAACAAACCTGGGGGAGGGGAAAAGGAGGTGTGGCTGGGCCTGAGAAAGGTTGGGGAGAAGTGTGGCATCACCGTCTCTCAGGTCTCCAACTGGTTTGGCAACAAGTGGATCCACTATGAGAAAAGTATCGGATTTGTGAGTTTATTAAATTAATCAAATTTGGTCAAACATTAGTCATTATTTTCTGTCCCTCTTTTGCTCTCTCTTTTATTTTAGAATTCTTGTTACACAGCTTGGATTTGTCCTACAAGTCCCCAATATGTTGTTCAGTCCCCCCCCCCCCCAGTAATTTCCCTCTGTTATTCTGGGTAGTTTCTAATGTCTTCAAATTCACTCATCTTTTCTTCGGCAGTGTCTGATTGTGGTTAATCTCATCCAGTGTTTTTTAATCTCATATAGTAGAGTTTTTATTTCTTTAAGTTCAACTTGAGTTTTTTCTGAATATGCCATGTCTCCATTTAACATGTGAAGTATTTCCTCTAGCTTCTTGAACATGTGAAATGAAGTTATAATAATGATTAAAAAAAAAGAAGAAAAATATCAAAGTTTTAGGAGGCAAACATCTATGCCGTCAAGACCGCTGTGTCTGTCACCCAGGGGGGCCACAGCTCCCCGACACCCCCTTCCTCCGCAGGCTCTGGCCAGTGGCTCTTTCAGTCTCTCAGGATCCAGAGACATGTGACAGACATGTGACGTCCCCAACAGAGGGACCAGGGAGCATTCATTCTGACACTTCCAACTGTTCTTACCTCTCAGGCCACAGGGTGGGGGAGGGTCACGAGGTGACTCTTGATGAGAGGACAAGCCCCAGAATAGGAGAAGCATAAGACGGAGAAGGGCAAATGGGGTTGCTCTACCCCAGCCGACTAAGTGCTGGGGTTGCTGACAACATGGCAAGGAGAAGGGGGTCCCCTAAGGGGAAAGTGAGGTCTGTCTCCCCTTCTTTTCCATCTTTTTCTCTCTCCATTTCTTACACAGAGACACACCCAGAATCCTATCTTTCAGATCCCCTCTCTTAGACACATACACGACTATTGTTTCTCTCTCTCTCTCTCTCTCTCTCTCTCTCTCTCTCTCTCTCTCTTCTCTTCTCTTCTCTTCTCTCTCTCTTCTCTCTCTCTTCTCTCTCTCTCTTCACCTATTCTCCCCTACCCTTCATCTGCTCTGGGATCTGTGGAGATGCCAGCCTTTCCCTACCTACCAGAGATGCCAAAAATGGGGACACAACTTCTGGGCAGATGACCTGGCCTTGGCGCCCCCCCCCCCCCCCATGGCTTATTACCTCCTATGCAGCTCATCTTAAACCAATAGAGTTGCTTGGTGAACGAGTGTCTGCCTCAGATATCCACCTAGGGGGGAGTTCCTGCTACTTTAGGGAACTGGGAATTGTTAACTGGGTGTGGGGGTTGAACCTTTTTTTTAGGGAAGAAAAAAATCTCTGGGATCCATCTGTATTTTGTTGGTGTTGGTTCTTAATTTTTAATTGAGTTTGGGAAGTAGATGCTTTTATATGTTGATTTCTTTTTTTACCTTAGTTACTGGCTTTCCCATATTAGGGGAGACAGCAGAAGGGGTCATGATAAGAGAAAGGGGGACAAGCTGGCCTGTTCTCCCTCCTCTCTCAACCCTTGGGCAGGGCTGGGCACAGCCATTGGAGGCGGTGCCATCACTTCCCCTGTGACATGTCTTTTTGTTAAACTATGCAGGTTGGAGGGAAGAAGGGGGAAGGGTGATGGTGAAATAAGTATGGGTTGGGATGCTTGTGCATGTTATCTCCTTCAATTTTCCCAGGAACGAGTTATCTTTGTTTCTCAGTCCAAAATCCTGAGGGTGGGGAGAGGAGAGAGGCTGCAAAAAGCCAGGTACGGAGGGAAGTCAAGTCACCGCTGCCCCATCCTTAGCCCTGAACCCCTCCAACAGCATCAGGATTTCACAGACTCTCACCATGGGGAACCCCTCCCGTCAAAGATCCGGCAAGACTGTGGGCCGTTGGGACTGATGGGTGAGGGGCGGGAGGCACAGGCATGGGTTTGGGCAGGTCTCACTTGTAAACTTACAGTTTCACACACACACAAAAGCAGTTTTAAATACAAATTTTCCCCTGGGGTGCAGAGGGAAAAAAAAGATTCGGGGAATCTTTGTAAAGGAATATACTAGAAATTTTGAAAGAATCACGGTATGTGTTGTGTAAGAGGTTGGAAATGGTTTTGGGGGGTAGGCTCCCCCCAGTGCCCCCAAATGAAATGTCAAGGGATATGAGGGCAGTCAGCCTCGCCAGGGCTCTGTCAGAAGGGTTATGCTCCTTCACCTACCGCGGTGGAGGAATGTCTTCTCTGATAAGCGAACCTAACTTTCCTAGACTGTTAAGGCGCCAAGGACTTGTGACGTCTTGAACCCATTACACTTTTATTATGGGCTGCAGAAACTTTGGTAAAGGTTAATGAGTGCTTATTTATCCTTATGTGGTGCTTTCACATCTCCTTTATCACCGCCAATATTCGTTACTTATTGATCCTCTTTTATTTTTTCTTATGCTATATAACTCGGTTCCAAGAAAGCACAGGTCTGTGGTGGGGATCATAGGACGGCCTGTGTTTATTCAGGCAGGCTGAGGCTCTCCTTTATCAATGGAAGAGGCTTTTTTTTTTTTTTTTTTTCTTAGATGCAAGATCTAGGGAATAATGGAAATGTTGGGATTAAACCTAAAGCATGTTTGAGGTTCTTTTCACCACCTCAGGAATGATAACAGTGTTTTGAAACTGTGATAATCTCCGGTCTTTCAGGCTTTTGGTGGAAGGGGCAAAGATGTTTTCCTTCATTTTGATGTTTAGTCAGGTTGCTTATACCCTACGAGGCCGTCATATTATCATCTTCAGAGCTTTCAGGATTGCCTGCTTATTCTGCAGGGTGGCTGGTTGGGGCAGGCTTGGCCAGAAATGCACTGTGTTCTCTTATCTTCTTGAACTTCACTTTTCCTGAAGGTTTGGATTCCACCAGCTTGTGCTTGGATGTTCTTTGACTGACTATGTGATGGGCTGCCCTGGACGAGGCCTCCTAAGCCAGGCCAGAGGGCAACTCTCCTGTCAGTTTTCGCTCTGCTTCTCTCCTTTCATTGACATTCAAGGCATCATTAGAGTTGGAATGCTACTTCCCCATCTTTTCTCTAACATTTTCTTTCTTTTCTTTTCTTTTCTTTTTTTTTTAATTATTGATTTTTTACAGAGAGGAAGAGAGAGGGATAGAGAGTTAGAAACATAGATGACATAGAAGCATCGATCAGCTGCCTCCTGCACCCCCCCCCCCCCATGGGTATGTGCCTGCAACCAAGGTACATGCCCTTGACCGGAATCGAACCTGGGACCCCTCAGTCTGCAGGCCGGCGCTTTACCCACTGAGCCAAACCTGCTAGGGCATTTCTCTAACATTGTCTTCGTCTTTTTCACTGGATTCTATGCTAACATGTTTTTTTTGTTTTTTTTTTAATATATATATTTTATTGATATTTTACAGAGAAGAGGAAGGGAGAGAGATAGAGAGTTAGAAACGTCAATGAGAGAGAAACATCGACCAGCTGCCTCCTGCACACCCCCTACCGGGAATGTGCCCGCAACCAATGTACATGCCCTTGACTGGAATCGAACCCGGGACCTTTCAGTCCGCAGACCGACGCTCTACCACTGAGCCAAACCGGTTTTGGCCTATGCTAACATGTTTTAACCGAAGGCTCTCTGCAGCTGTTACACCTTAGGATTTCTTTCTGTGCTATCATCTCAGGAGAAGTTTGTATTTCTTGCTTCTGAAAACAGCAGGGATCATGTGAACTAGTACCCCAGTGGGAGGCCTAAATAATACATTTCACTATTTGGGCCTTCCATTTGTATTTTCATTAAAAGCCAACAGTTCCAAAAGGCCTTTTAATGGAAAATTCAGCAATCCTCACCTCCTCTCTACCACCCTCAACTTTTCCAGCTGTTTCTTTTGATACCTACCTCAATGTTTCTAAATAATATTCTCATATTGCTGTTAGAAATTTCCAGACTTTCCCCTGTGTTGGAGGAGTATTTAACATCCTTGGACAGCCCCGGTGCCCACTGCATTCCCCTCCCCCACTTTTATTTTGGAAATGGTTTCTGGTCTTGAGGTGCTTGTCAAGCTCATCCTGAGTAAGAAGTAAGTCAGGCTTCCTGAGTCATTTGAGTCTATTCTCAGTGGTTCACATCAGAACATTTCTTGAATGCTAATTGTGCCAATAAGTGAGCAAACTACATCAAAAGACTCTTTCTGAGTAGATGGGCCTAATGCAGTAAGTAAGAGTGAACTGAGAAAATCACAGTACACTCAAAAGAAGAAACTAGGAGGAGCTTATTGCTGAGGTCTTCCTAGCTGGTTCATGTTGTCTCCAACATGAGTGGAAATCGGGACTGTGGATAAGTTTAGGACTTCTTACAAGTGTGTGGCAGTCTTATCTGCCCTTTTCTAGAAAACACACAAGGGGCCAGGCATTTGCAAACTGGAAGCTCATGCCCTCTGTCACCTCACTTCAGTAATACTTAATCTAGGCATAATTAATCAACCAGAGAGGGCAGGACAGAGATGCCAAGGCCAAGAGCACTTCAGAGCTGAGCACTCCATTCAGCAGGGGGTGTGTGTGTGTGTGTGTGTGTGTGTGTGTGTGTAATCAAGTTTTTTTCTCCACCCCTTCTCCTCTGTGACTTTTAGAGCATACTTGGGACACAGGGTTCGGAAAATTCTTCTGGGGCATTGATAAGATCAGACAAGTTCTTGGAAACTTTTTATCTCAGCAATTCCAGTTGCCAGTGCTTTCTGTAGAGCAGTATGTGGTAGCTAGGGTATGGGGGAGAAAACACCAGGAAGAAAGGTTTTTTTATGAGAGGGAAGCCTGAACAATTTCTTCTTTTTTTTTAAATATATTTTTATTGATTTTTTACAGAGAGGAAGGGAGAGAGATAGAGAGCTAGAAACGTCGATGAGTGAGAAACATCAACCAGCTGCCTCTTGCACACCCCCTACTGGGGATGTGCCCGCAACCAATGCACATGCCCTTGACCGGAATCGAACCTGGGACCTTTCAGTCCGCAGACCGACGCTCTACCACTGAGCCAAACCGGCTTCGGCAAGCCTGAACAATTTCATTAGAACAAGTTAACTCGCCCAACTATAATCTAACAACGTAGAAAAAATGGATGAAACAAAAACCATGAGATTGCAGTGAACAGAACTGAGAAAACAGCAATGATAATGAGAACAGGGTTGTCATAAAAATCATGTGTTTCTGAATTTCTGTGAAGTAATCGTAAAACTACATCTGAAGTGCTTTAGTTTGAGTTTGTTCGTTCATTCACTTCGTGCATACCCTATACCAGTTCCGTATATACCAGGGTCTAGGAACACAATGGTAAGTAAAGCAGCATGCTGCAACTCTCAAGGATTTACAGTGAAGCACACAGAGTGCTCTATAGACCTCAGCTGACGGATGTGTAGTGACAGGGCAGGTATAGAGAGAGGACCCTGACTAGACTGTGGTGTCCAGGAATATCACTGCCTGTAGAAGCTCAACTATATATACACAAAAGGCTAAGCGACTGTCCGACCGTCCGACCGGTAGCTATGATGCACACTGACCACTGGGGGCAGAGGCTCAATGCAGGAGCTGCTGAGCTCCTGTGACTTGGCAGCAGCGGTTCTCGGGTGACGCACCCCTGAACCAGAGAGGAGAGAGACCAATTTCGGGTTGTGTCACCTGAGGATCGCCCTCTCGCAATCCGGGACCCTTTGGGGGATGTCGAGTGCCGGTTTCGGCCCAATTCCCAAAGGCCAGGCTGAGGGAACCCACCTACCTGAGGGACCGCACTCATTCTGCAGACTACTTTTGAGCCACAGTACCACAGGTGTGGCTGGTCGGGGAGGGACCATGGGAGGTTGGTTCCAGGGTGTGTCTGGCCCATCTTGCCCAGTCCTGCTCTGCTGGCCACCTTCTAATTAATTTCCTTTCACTGTGCACTAATTCGTGCATTGGGGCAGTAGTATTGTCTAGCTGAGCTAACATTTCAAGGTTGAGGGTGGTGTGATTTAGGAAAAAAGGGTACAGGAGTGGGAGAAGATGTTCTGGGCATAGGAAATAGGAGGACCTGAAAGAAGGCCATAGTGACCAGAGCTCAGGCTGTGTGTGGAAGGTCACTGGAGGTGAGGCTGGAGGACTAGGCTGGGCTGATACCATGCAGCCAAGGATTTCAAGCAGGAGCAGAACCACATCTACTCTGCCTGCGGTGTACAGGGAGGATGAGGACCACGTGCATATGCGGCAGCCAGTCTGTCAGCTCTGGCTGTAGCTTGGGTGAGGGGCAGTGGTTTGAGTGATGGTCGGAGCTGTGAATGAATGCAGGAAGTCTGGAGGGGGAAATTGAAAGGATTGGACAGCTAGGATATGAGGGATGAGGAAGAGGGAGACCTCCAGGGTGGCACTTAGGTGTCTGACCTAGACAGTGTGCCAGAATGACCTCCTTCTAATGGTTTCCACAAATAAATACTTTAAGTATACATTTCCACAAAGATTGACAGATTTGCTTATGGAACATCTTGAGTGCGCAGTGGGAGACGGAGGTTATTATGGGAGGGAGTGAATACCATATTATGAGGCCCCAGACATCCAGAACTTGGAGTATGAACATTCCCCAGAGCTGACAGGTCTAGTAATGATGGGAGGAAGGTCATAAAGATGGCCCTTATAAATTTTTTTACTAGTGATTTGAATGAAAGATGAGAAGCAGACACGGGAAGGAAACATACTGTAAAGGCCTGTATAAAGTAGGGATGGATTTGAATAAGAGAATTGGAAGGTATATCAGACTTTCCTGTTTAGGGAAGATCCTTACCCAATGATCATGACTCTAGAAGTGAAACTTGAAATTTGGAAATGACATTTGTATGAGATGCCAAAACCAGACTTGTTTTGTTTTCTAAGGTGATTGACATGCCGGAACACAACCCTGGCAACTTGGGAGGAACGATGAGGCTGGGAATAAGAAGAACTGTTTTCAAAACGGAAAATTCAATATTAAGTAAGTTTCTCAGATGGTTTGCTTTAAGACATGGGGTGTCATTCGCCTTGCCCCTTCCATCTCCCCCCCGCTTTCCTTCCAGACTTCCTCTCACCTGTCTCCCCCTAAACTCCTGCTCCCTAGTTCCTTTCCCTGGAGGGGCTGGTGGGACACACGTGGATGCCCCTTCCCATTGATCTCCATGACACCCTGTCCAGCGGGCTGTTTGTGATTTCCCCATGTTCCTGGACACGATCTTTTGCTGGGAGAGCCCTGATTCCAACTCGGTTCTTTTGAATCTCTCCATTATGTTGGATCCCACCCCCTGTTTACTTGTTTCATGTCCAACTGGCTTGAGCCACTAATTTAGGAACTTCTTGAGAATGATAGCAGCTATGCCTCAGCAGTCACTTTCTCCTTTCCCAAAGTGGCTCCAGCATGGGGAGAGGAAAATATGATGCCACGTTTGCTGATCTACTGATATTTGCTAATCTCCCACTCCTGATAAGATTACTCTAATGTCTGTGCAAGTATGCCTGTAGATGAACATATTTCTATGAGAATAACTTAAGGTCAAAAACCCCCCGAAAGCACTTAATTCAATTTAATATATTTTGAATAACTTGCATACCATGCTAGATTCCCCAGATAATGGTAGGACCAGGACAGATAGCAGTCCTGGCCTCCTGGGCCTCAGAACAAGGGGAGAAAGTGTGATGAAAGGCATAGTATGCAAGGTCCTAACAGGGCTATCTACAGAGGAGGGAGGCCAGTATCTGGGGTATCCAGCATCATTCCTGTGAAGTTTGAAGAATGTCTGAGGAAAATGCCTTCTTAACTCAAAGAAGAATCAGATCAGAAACATGTTTCTTCTTTAAGGATAATAACTAGCTTCTAAGGCATAGAAAGCTTCTTAGCAAAGATAAAATTGAAAAAGGAAAAGTTTTAAAGGGTACACATTCTCCCTGCTTTCTCTGGATAAGAAACCATTGTTCCCTAAGTGACTTTTTCTTTAAGAATATAAGAATTTTTCCTCTTTGTGGCTATTAGTAACAACTTTGACTTTCAGATGTTTTTAAACGTTTGACACTGCTTTGTTCAAGTGTTTGCCTAAGTGACCAAAAATCGTTAGACATTTAATGGTTTTAAATTGCCTCTGTAAAAGATTCAGTGATAATTGTATTGAGCTTTTAAAAGGAGCATTTGTTCAGTATATTTAAATATTTTATCTGTCCTGATAGAAATAAGACTGATTTAGGATTTGTTATTCTTTACATAATGTTGATGATTTTATTAATTTTAAACACAACACCAAAACCGGTTGCTTAATGTCTTTTGCCTGCCTGGAAAAATATTTTAAATAGCTTCATTGATACTTAATTTACACACTATGCAATGCATCTGTGAAAAATGTACAATTTACTGTTTTTTATTGATTTCACAGAGTTGTACAGCTCTCAACACAGTCAATTTTTGAACATTTTTATCACCTCAAAAAGAAAACCTTGTTCTTTTTAGCTATCACCACCATCCCTCCAGTCCTAAGCAGCCATCAGTCTACTAACTGTCTCTATAGTTGCCTATTCTGGGCATTTCATATAAATGGAACCATAGGACATGTGGTATTTTGCTGAGCTTCTTTTATTTAGCATAATATATATATATATATTTTATTGATTTTTTTACAAAGAGGAAAGGAGAGAAATAGAAAGCTAGAAACGTCGATGAGAGAGAAACATCGACCAGCTGCCTGCCGCACCCCCCCTACCAGGGATGTGCCCGCAACCAAGATACATGCCCTTGACGAATCGAACCTGGGACCTTTCAGTCCGCAGACTGACACTCTAGCCCCTGAGCCAAACCGGTTTCGGCAATATTTTCTTTTTAAAAAATATTTTAATTGATTTCAGAGAGGAAGAGAGAGGGAGAGAGAGACAGAAACCTCAGTGATGAGAGAGAACCATTGATTGGCTGCCTCCTGCATGCCCCACACTAGATATGGAGCCAGCAATCCGGGCATGTGCCCTGTCCAGGAATCGAATTGTGACTTCCTGGTTCATAGGTTGACACTCAACCATTAAGGCACGCCGGCTGGACTAGTGTAATATTTTCAAAGTACATCCACATTGTAGCATGTACTTCATTCCCTTTTAGGTCTAAATAATAGTCCATTGTATGGACATACAGCATTCTGTTTATTCATTCATCAGTTGTTTGATATTTTGGTCCTTCCCAGGCCTGCCTTAACATTGAGATTATGCTTCATAAGCATATGAACCTGGAGTCCCCAGCAGGCATAAAGCTTTGCCCTCCCACCTGTGTGGGGTCTTCCACAGGTCTCCCCAAAAGGTTGTGTCTACTGAGTGTCATAAACCTATAAAAGCATATATAGCAACCTTAGTGTTTTGTGGGTTTTTTCCCCCCTGCTAGTCATCATATTTCTTTTGTAGGAGTTTATATTTTTCACAAGCTGGCACATTTCTTTTGTAGGATTTGTTTTTCTCTAGTCAGCTCATTTATTTTGTAGACTTTTTTTTTTTTCCTACTCAGCACATTTCTGCAAGGATGGTAGGAACAAAATACATTTGGCCACATTGCCTGTGACGATGACTTATTGTTTTGATGAAAAGCATTTTGATGCTCTTCATTCTTTATTTTTATTTGATTATAGGCCAGGCTTGCAATGCTCTGGATTAAAGGGGAAAACAGGAAAGTAAAGAGGTCCTTTTGTTTTGTTTTATTTTGTTGTTTTAGTAAAAGAGAATATTTTAAAATAGGATCAAAGCGTATAAATATTTATAGACACAATGGCTGGATTACTAGAGTGATTCCACTTTTATATTCAAGAAGAACAATTCCTCTTTTCTTCTTGCTCACCTGTTAGTTCCTTAAGGGTTATGAAAACTCTAGATTTGATTTTTCTTCTTTTTGAAAAAAATGTTTTTATTGATTTCAGAGAGGAAGGGAGAGGAAGAGAGAGACAGAAACATCAGTGATGAGAGAGAATAATGGATCGGCTGCCTCCTGCACGCCCACACTGGGGATCAAGCCCACAACCTGGGCACGTGTCCTGACCGGGAATCGAACTATGTCTTCCAGGTTCATAGGTTGACGCTCAACCACTGAACCATGCCGGCTAGCCTGGGCATATAAATTTTAATTGAGTTAAGGAACTGCAACCTACTGATTGATTTCCTATTGTTAAAAATTTCAGGTTGTTTTCTGCATTTTGTTAGAAAAACACTGATGGGAAGGAATATCTTGACACAGAGTTTATGTAATTTTTTTATTTCCTTGGGATAGATTTCTTGGAGTCAGACTGTTAGGTCAAAGGGTATGAACACTTTTATGACTAATACTTCTGCCGGATGGTTTGAAAGAAGAGGTGAACCAGTTCATAATGAACTGTACCCTAATGTTCTTGCTTTCTCTAGTCTTATTCTTTTTGCTAGTATATTTATGGTTTTTCTTCTTGCTGTATTAGCAAGAACAAAACAGCCTCCCCTCTTTTTTAGGTGCTAAAGTGAATATTTACTTAGGATCATAAGTAAATCACAACACAGCTCAGAAGCTGACAAACAGCATAAGTATCCCTTATAGATGAGGGATTGTACGAGGGAGGGCTTTTGAAGGATATTACATGTTAGCTTTTAAATAATAATAAAACATTAAGTAAAATAATAGACCTACTTATGCTGTTATGATTGTTAAGTATTAATTGCCTAGTCACGGTCTTTTCCAAACTTCATCTATCATGCTTTATCTATCATGAGGATTAAATAAGTTAATTCAGGCAAAGCACTTGCCTGTAGTAATATTCACTATTTTTAGTATTTATGTACATACAACCTGGTTAAGTCTCCAATTACCTCGGAGAGCATGGGAATCCATCAGAAGAGTGACCCCCCCAGGCTCCTGTGTGCACAGCTTGGGACACAGGGGTGCTGATGCCAAAGACAGTTCCCAGTGGCTCCTCCAAAGACAGAGCCACTTTCATATTTATAATCCAATGTAATTTGTTTCCATGCGATTTTTATTTGTAGCCCTTGGCACACAGATAGTGTTCAATATAAGCTTGCGGCACATTTCTAATCCCCTGAATTGAGAATTTCTGGAGTTTTAATTTTTCATGATCTCTCACTCAGAATCAAACTGGTGCAGTTGGGAAAACACAGGAAACCAAGACAACTGTGTTTTGTTTTGTTTTGTTTTCTGTGAAATCTTTTAATTTAATTAATTAATTTATTTTTTAATATATTTTATTGATTTTTTTTTGCCCCCCTCCCTCCCTCACATATATACCCTCCCTCCCCAGAGTTTTATGTCCATTGGTTGTACTTATATGCATGTATACAAGTCCTTTGGTTGATTCTTTTTTAAAACTCTTTGGAAATATAAGATGCTCTTCTCTTCCATTCATGATCCAACACCGTGATGGATCTAGTTTCCATGTGGCTACTTCTGTAAGTCCTTGGTTATAAGGCTCCTCTCTAGCTAGTCTTCGGCAAAAGATTTGGTGAGCTCCCGGCCACACAATAATGTCCCCATTATGTGCATGGGTGGAATTGTTGAAACGGAGGTGTAGAGCTGAATGGGGAAGGAGGATATTGTGGGAGAGACTCCAGAGATCAGCTCACTCCCAAACTAGCCTGTCTTGTCTTTCTGAGGGGATGGCATTGTGTGTGTGTGGGGGGAGTCCTGAGAATCAGATGATGAGTTGTATGTGACTTCTTGTTCCTCACCGGTATCTTCAGAAAGCCTAGATGCTCAAACTTGAAGAGTCTTGCCTACAGTGTTGTTAGAGTTCCAGTGGGAGGACCCAGACCTTACATAGATGGGGCCGCCAAAACCGGTTTGGCTCAGTGGATAGAGCCGTCAGCCTGCGGACTGAAAGGTCCCAGGTTCGATTCCAGTCAAGGGCATGTACCTTGGTTGCGGGCACATCCCCAGTGAGAGGTGTGTAGGAGGCAGCTGATCCGTGTTTTTCTCTCATCGATGTTTCTAGCTCTCTATCCCTCTCC